ATTTTGGTGCTGAAGCGGGTGTGGGCCTCAGGCATAATTGGTATAGTTACAGCAAAGTGGAGAGACCTGTGACCTCTGTCCCCTTGGAGGATTCAAGGATTTTCTATGGATAAGGGCTTTCTCACTACCTTATGGAGTGGCCAGGGTTTCTAAGAAATTTGTAAGGTGCCTACGAAGGTATTTTAAAAGGCTATTTAGTTTCCTTACAAGCTGGAGAGGTAATTTTTTTTCAAAGAAAATCACACACACAAAAAAGCTTTGGAACAAATAAAAATTACCTTTGAACTCACCTTTCTCACTTTTACTGGATGGGTTACAGTAGCAGTCAGCTTTCACTAGGTTGTGCTGTTGTAACAAATATCCCCAATCTCTGTGATTTACAAAAGGTTTATATCTCACTGACAGTACATGTCAACATATGGTTGGTGGTGAAGATGAAGGAGCAATGCCTTTCCTGGACTAGATAGTTTGGGGAAGAGGGAAGAAAAGCAAAAATGATGGTGAAACCACATAATTCCTAAAATTTTCTTTTAAAGAAAGTGACACTGGCCACTTATAGTTCCATTTAATTGGTTAAAGAAAATTACATGGCCACACAGTGAATGGCCAGAGAATAGGATCTGTTATGGCTACACAACCTGAAGACTAGAAAGTGATGGTTCTGAAGACAAAAGAACGAGAGGTCAAACAAGAGGGTGCTTTTAAATATAGTTGTAGACAGGAGAAATCTAAATCTGTTGAAGAAAGAAATTTAAAAGGAAGAATCAAAACTTCTTTTCTTATAAATTAAGTTAGAAAACTTCAGAAAGGAAAATGTCTACACTAAGAAAAAATTTTATAACCTTCCTAACACAACAAAAATCAGACTACTGAGCCAACCAACCAACTGATCTTTGGACATCAGCCTACTGAGGCACACACTTTCCTGGTGACTTGAGTTGGTTTTGGCAGGTCACAAGGTATATAAAGAAAAAAAATGGATCCCCAGTGAGTACTTTCATGACTCCACATCATCACTCAGGCCTGGAAAATTCTTTGCCACCTATTTTCCCCCCAAATCCTACTCACCTTTTTAAGCTTGCCCTTAAATGCCATCTTTTCTGAGAAATCCTCCTGAATTTTTCCCATAAGTATGGATCACATCTTCCTAGGAGGCAGCTGTGCTTACATTTCTAGCTAACATATTTCATGTTGTCTTGAGTTACATTTAATGATTTAGCCCTTCCCCAAAAAGAACTGAATTCTTGAGGGCAGGTTGTGATCCATGGCCAGCCCTGGACAAAAAGCTTAAGACTCTATTAGAAAAATAACTAAAGCAAGAAAGGGCTGAGGGTGTGGCTTGCCTAGAAAGTACAAGGCTCTGCGTTCAAGCCCCAGTACCTCCAATGGTGAAAAAAAGATTGGGAGGAGAGGGATGTGTAGGTATGGGTGCTATGAGCAATCTTAGCATCTCTGTTTGTCTGACATCTAGATTAGTTTGTTCCTTGTAAGGGTTTCTATTTTTATTCTCTTAGTATCAAATGTTAATTGGTTATATGGAGCTTAGTTTTATGAAATTGCTGTGCTGATGTAGTTGAACCTCATTATGCAAACGCTAAAAGTGAGCAATGTAAGGATAATTTAAAGGATCAAATATGATATTGGGTAGAAAGGGATTAAAATCATAATATAGAGCATGGATATTTTTAGATTCTTTATATTGGATTCAGATGTGCTTGTTCTAGTTTGTAAATCAAAGAATTGGCCTATATCTTTGATTTGTGTGTTTAGGTTTTATGGTAGCAGACACTTTATAATAACTAGAAATAGAAATTCTATCTCTGTGGTAATATAGTACAGGGACCTGAGGAGAAAAGGTTTTAAGGTGCTGTTAATTAGCAGAAATCTGAAGCACACAGTCTCAAAGCAATTAAGGATGTTAATTGAGTATTTGGATACAGACTGGAATGGCTCATGTGTGGCTGAGCAGGGTATCCTAGGCTTGCTTACAGGAGTTACATTACACAAATGATGTTGAAAACCCAGAAAGAACAAATAGGGGCTAACATATGTTTGTCTAGCAGAAAAATGTATTTTTGAATGGTGATGCATTATATACAAAATTGGCTATTAGTTGCAAAATCAATGTTAACAACTCAGTCTTCCAGCCTATCTTTCGTAAATATGGGACACCAATTTCTCACGGAAAACTCAGTTGCTTGCAATGGTGATTTTTATTGTTCTCTAGTTTGGTAAATTTATCTATGTTCATGTGACTCTTTAAATACAATCTGTGGTCACATAATGGGTACATCATGTCATCTACGCACATTTGAGGACGGGAATGAATATTGCTGATGAGCTCTGAGGGCAAAGTGATTTATTATTGAGATCAATAACCTTCGTATGGGGCTTCATTAACTGTAGCTAATGATTAATGCAAAAAGAAAACTCAGAACAAATTCTTCACTGTGAAAAAAAATCCAAGTAAAGAAAAAGAAATGAAATGTACCTTTTAGAAGAACTTCAGTGGAAAGAGGTTGGTATTTTTGAAGGAATGTCCTCCAGGATACGATAGAGCCACTGTACACCGATGTTTATTGCAGCACTATTTATAATAGCTAAGCTGTGGAACCACCTCAGATGCCCCACAACTGACGAATGAAAAAAATGTGGTATATATACACAATGGAGTTTTGTTCAGCCATAAAGAAGAATGAATTTATGTTGTTTGCAGGCGAATGGATGGAACTGGAGAACTTCATGTTAAGTGAAGCCAGGCTAAAAAAGTCAAAGGTCATGTTTTCCCTCATATGTGGAAGGTAGACCTATAAGTTAAATGTACACACACACACACACACACACACACACACACACACACATAGTGAAAGAGAGAACAAAATTGGATTAGTGAGTCAGTCTAAGGGGATTATGAGAGGTAGGAAAGGAAAAAAAAAGTGTTAGAGAATGAAAAATATGAAGCAACTCATCTATATGTGAATATAATATAATCTACTATACTATGTTATTAAATATTAGGGGAGCATGGTGATAGAGAATGAGTAAGTAACTAGGGGGGGAGATTAATTTGATTAAAGCACATTATATACAGGCCTGAAGTACCAAGAAGAAACTCCTTTGGATTATCAATGCACACTTTAAAAAAATGAAGGCCAGGAGGAAGACTAGGTCTTTTCCAGGGTGGCTACCTGTGGGAGGTGGGTGGGCACAAGGAAATGGGGAATGATGATGAATATGGGGATACATTTTGTATCCATATATGAAAATAGAAGAATGAAGCCTGTTGAAGTTGTTCTAAGAACGGAGAGGTAGGGAAAGAGGAAGAACAATGGAGGGGGTAAATCTAACTAAGATATATTGTAAACACATATGTAAATATCACAATGTATCCCCCTGTATAACTATTATATGCTAATAAAATAATTAAAAAAAGAGGTTGATAGTTTTGGTAGTGCTATGGTTTTTAGGGAACACCTCTCCTGCCCATCTCAGGTATACTAAGGCACTCAGCAGAAGGAATGTCAACTAAAGAATCCCTGAAAGGCAGTGAATGCAGAACAAATTCAGTGTCTTGGACTGATTCAGTCCTCTGAATGGTGTGGCCAGCTTTACAGTCTGTGTTAAGGGGAAAGAGAAATTACACAAATACTTGAAATCTACAGGTTATCTTCAAGGCTTAAGTTGGTCAATAATTTTCACCTATTTAGCTAAAATTGGCAGAGTTTATTGACTTAAGCTTTTACCATCTCCTTCAGCATCAATCCACTTTCTAGAGAAATTTGTAATAGACTGGGATGTGGCCTTTTTTATTTTTATTTTTTCAGTACTGGGGTTTGAATTTAGAGCCTCACACTTGCTAGGCAGGTGCTCTAACACTTGAGCCACTCTGCCAGGTCCCCCTCCTCCCATTTTTTCAAGTGAAGGTGCCAAGAGGCAGTGAAGGATAGGAGCACAGAACCTACAAATTCCCAAAGTAATCTTCTCCATTCCTATTTGAGGAACTCAGCATTCGCAAGGATGGTATGATTTAGGAACAACAGGCTATTCAACTACCAACAGGAATTTTGCTGTGCGCACAGAGCATATAAAAAACAAATTGTAATTGAGGCCTGAATCTGAGCTAATTATGCAAATACTTCTACAAGTGTGGAGCAAAGGCGCTTAGAGGTTATTGAATAGAGCTTTTAAAAGGCGATGAGACTGGGGCTGTAGTTTCTAACGCTGATTTGGAGAGCACATTTAAGAGGTTGCAATGTGACCTCTTTGGATCAGGAAAGTTCCTGCTGGTTATGCAATGTGTGCATTTCGTTATTTACATGATCTCACTAAGCGATTTGAAGCTGTGTACACAGCAAGGTGAGCCTGTAGCAGCACCCCAGACTCTGAAACTAGAACAGGACACTCTTTCTTTACTGTCTTTCACTGGCTTCGCTTTTCAAATACTTGTGAAAATATTCTGAAAGAATATCTACTTCTTGACATTTCGTGAAATGTTTTTAGGAACTCTGAGTCTCTTGGAAAAATTTCCATACCCGTTTTCATGTGCCCTAAGGACGAATGCAAAAGTAAATACTTAATAATAAAAAGATTCCGTTGGGGAAGTCCTTTTTTATTTTGTTACAAGGTCTTCCAGCCCTCTTTCCCACCCACCTGTCCAACTCGCTTTCCTTTCGGCATTTCCTGCAGTGAGGATGAAGATGAGTAAGGGGACAGAGGCTTGGCCGAGGCTGGGTCGTGGGGTCTCGCGCCCGGGTTGACCTTGGCCTCTCGCGCGGCTTTGGGTTGGCGGCGGGGCCGGGTGATAGCTCTGCCGGGGTGGCGGGGCGGCCTTGCGGAAAGTCAGTGCAGGACTAAGACCCTGGTGCTGCTTTGGTGGGGCCGCCCGGGGTCCCCCCGCTGCGGCAGCCTGAGGAGCGAAGGGGGCGGGTCCTCGCGTGCCAGGACACGCCCCGGCCGCGTTTATAATTCGGCCGGCGCGCGCTCCCGGACCTGCCGCCGCTTCCTCGCCACACCGGGGCCACACGCTCCCCACGCCGGCCTCCGGAAGCTACGGGCCGGGCGGACGCATCGTCGCCGGACGCCCGCGGACTCTCTCCGCGCGCTCCTCCGCGCGCGAGCCTCGCCCCGCGCTCTCCTCTTACGCGCGCCCGCGCCCACGCTGCGCGCTGTCCCGCAGAGCCACAGGCACCGCCGGTGACAGCCAGAGCGGCCCCGCGGCCTCCCCATGGCTGACCTGAGCTTCATCGAAGACTCCGTGGCCTTCCCCGAGAAGGAGGAGGACGAGGAGGAAGAGGAGGAGGGTGTGGAGTGGGGCTACGAGGAAGGTAACCGGCCCGCCGCGGGGCTGGGGTCCCGGCACGGCGCGACCCCTCTGTCCCACCCGGGTCTCCCTTTCCCATGCCCTGGCACGGGAGGCGCTCCAAGGAGGCGCGCTCGCCGCCCGTGTTCGTGACCCGGGAAGCTTCGCAAAGCTGGCGTCCTGCCGGGGCAGCGGATCCACCTGCTGCTGTGGGTCCCTAGGGCCAACTTCCAGCCCTGGAGGAGGGCAGCGGTACAGGTTGCTCAATGCTTTGAGAAGGTGGTGTCAGTGAAACTGTTACAGTTTCTTGCTCTCTAGTCTTTTCGTGAAGGATAACTAAATGCTCAACTCTGTAAGACATGCCTTAAATTTCAAGCTGGATTATTTGGCTTGGTTGACTTTTTTGAAGAAACTTAGTTTCCTGAAGACATAGGGCTCCTAATAATTAACCGTTAGTGCTGAAACAGGACATTTGATTATAAAAAATTGACAAGAGCAACTGTATACTTATATATGTACACATACGCATACTTTACTATTTGTGTTTCCTTTAAGAGGTGTTCACTAGAATCAAAATTAGGGCTTTTGGCTCTCAACAACCGTGTTGAAAGTCGCAGTTAATTTCTAAGTTGTAGAACATAATTGAACTAAGGAGCAGAGGAAATTTTTGTAAGTTTTTTTCTAAGGTGACTTAAACTTCCTGTAGACATAGATTATTACATCTACGTGGACAACTACAAACAGACTATTTCACAGCTCTAGGACTTTGTGTCTGGTATTTGATAATATTAGGTCATTGATATAATGATTGCAGAAATTCGTATACATTCACCCCATATTATCTGTATAGAGATTGCATCAAACCTTCTCATAACACCAAGGATCACAGAAGTGTTAAACTAGGTTTTTCATGTTGAATTTTACTCTAACTTCATTTTTAATCTGTTCCTGATTTTTTTCATTTCATCCTTAGGTGTTGAGTGGGGATTGGTGTTTCCTGATGCTAATGGGGAATATCAGTCTCCTATTAACCTGAACTCCAGAGAAGCTAGGTATGACCCTTCACTGCTGGATGTCCGTCTCTCTCCAAATTATGTAGTCTGCCGAGACTGTGAAGTCACCAACGATGGACACACCATTCAGGTTATCCTGAAGTCAAAATCAGGTATTTTAGAAAGCATTTCATGTGCTTTTGTAAGCTGGAAGTCATTGTGGAGTTGGTGAACTTTGACTTAAAGGTAGAACTGACATAGCTCTTTTTCAAGATATCTTTGTATATTATAAAATGCATTTGGGGAATTATTTTCTGAAACAATTTTGAATGGACAAAAGGGTGGCATCATGGAGATCCTTGTTGTTTTGTACAATGTTGCTGGAGCCACCCCAGTTGGTGAACTTACACTTTGTGAAATAAGAGGAGAAGCATATGCAGGTGCACCAATCTGCATTTTTTTCGCTCTTCATTTTGTTGATGATCTGAAAATCATTTAGATAATTGTAATTTTCTGTTTTACTACTTTGCAAAACTGAAGATGAGAATTTATTGACATAGTCTGGCATTAAAGATAAACTTTTCAACTTAATTTTCTCTGCTCTATTATTATGACAAGAAGAATTTTAATAGCCATAAAAATCTCTTCTAAACTCAACTGAAGATTTAAATGGCAAAGTTTTTGCTTTTATTTTTGAATCACAGACTCCTCCCATCTGAGCATATTTGAGAAAGAAGTGAAATGTTTAGTGGGAAATGAGGGAACCCATCTTTAGCTTAAGCATGGGGGAAGGGAAAGCACGTTTTTTTAAATTAGCATTAATGCCATGCTTTTCATAATAATGTTTGCTTCTTGGACAGTATATTGAAACATTAGGATGTGCTTGATAAACAGACTCTGCTCAAATTAATTCCAAATTGGTAAATTTGATATTTCAAAGCATAAAATCTTTAATTATTAGACAAGGCCTCTTTTATTCAAGTCTGCATTTTTAATTCATTGTGAATTTAAAATCCACGACATAGTTATAGATTCATTTTTTTTTTTGTGGGACTGGAGTTTGAAGTCAGAGTTTCTGCTTGCAAAGCAGGTTTCATGTGTTCTTCCCTGATGTTCTGAATTTAGTCACAGAATGGACATCTCCCTAAAGAGATTCTGAGTTTCATGTATACTTAGTCAAAGAGACATATAAAACTTAGATTTGAACTTAAATAAGAGTTTATTGGAGTGTTATCTATGATGGGACATTATATATTATTTTTTATTGTAAAATTACTGAATATCAGCCTGGCATATAAAAAAGACATTTTAAGGTAATACATGTATGTGATATGATTTGTTGGCATGCCTATAACCCCTTGTATTTCTTCAGTGTTCTTCTATAAATGTTTATAGATCTGTATAACAAAATGAATTTCATGTTAGGCATCATGGTAAGTATTGGTTGTGTACAAATGGACAAGACAATTTTTAAGGATGCTGTCTAGTGCAAGCACAATTCTTTAAGTTCTAGTGTAAATTTGTTATGAAAATGATAAAGCTTTATTGGGAGTATAGAAAGTGACCAAGTACAAATATCCCATGAGGTGGAGTGTGTCCAGTCCTGTCCAAAGATAAAATTTACTTCATCAGTTTGTTTGTTTTGTTTTTTTGCAGCACTGGGGTTTGAACTCAGGGCCTCCTGCTTGTTAGGCAGGTGCTCTACCACTTGAGCCACTTCCCCAGCCCCATCAGTTTGAATTTAGCATTTTCTTCTGGTACCTTCTTTTTTTTTTTTTTTCATTTAACTATATTTTCTTTTCTTTTTTTTTTATTTTATTATTCATATGTGCATACAAGGCTTGGGTCATTTCTCCACCCTGCCCCCATCCCCTCCCTTACCACCCACTCCACCCCCTCCCTGTCCCCCCCACCCCCTCAATACCCAGCAGAAACTATTTTGCCCTTATTTCTAATTTTGTTGTAGAGAGAGTATAAGCAATAATAGGAAGGAACAAGGGTTTTTGCTGGTTGAGATAAGCATAGCTATACAGGGCATTGACTCACATTGATTTCCTGGGTGTGTGTGTTACCTTTTAGGTTAATTCTTTTTGAACTAACCTTTTCTCTAGTACCTGGTCCCCTTTTCCTATTGGCCTCAGTTGCTTTTAAGGTATCTGCTTTAGTTTCTCTGCGTTAAGGGAAACAAATGCTAGCTAGTTTTTTAGGTGTCTTACCTATCCTCACCCCTCCCTTGTGTGCTCTCGCTTTTATCATGTGCTCAAAGTCCAATCCCATTGTTGTGTTTGCCCTTGATCTAATGTCCACATATGAGGGAGAACATACGATTTTTGGTCTTTTGGGCCAGGCTAACCTCACTCAGAATGATGTTCTCCAATTCCATCCATTTATTCTGGTACCTTCTTAAACACAGTTTTCTTGGGTCCTATACCTTACTTCAAAACAGACTATGGATCAGTGTCTCAATCTTCTAGCTGGGAGGTGCGTTTCTTTCTCACCTAACTTTTTTTTTTTTCTTTTTGGTCCTTTTCCCTTTTCTGTCCTCTACCCCTGACCAGTGAGGAAGAACTTTTTTATTTTTTCTAAGCCTGATTTGGATACAGGTGATCCACAGCCTTTATTTTCGGACTCACTGGAGGCCTTCCTCCCTCAGAGACCCTGTTGTCTCTCTGTCACTGTAATAATTTCTTTCCTTTTAATATCTCTACAAAGTTTAAAAAAATAACTAAAAAACATGTTTTGATCAGTTCATTATTTTTCCATGTTGTGGAAACTTCTCAAAGGAATACTTTTTAAGCCCTGGATACCTTGCTATTCCTTTATTTAAATAAAGCTTTATCTTTATCAAAGCAGAACACAGACATTATTTAGACAGCTGAATATTAATATATTTCTCTCTACCTCTGCTTATAGCAAAACCCCTCCCCACCTCCAGCTTCTGTTCTCTAGCGACAACTACTTAGAACCTTTTAGCCGTTTCTCAGTGCATTCACCTCTGTATTTCTTACTAGCATATTTTTATGCTGTTGTGCTCCATTATTTAAGATATCCTGAGTCTCCTGACTTTGAAGATGAAGCTGGTTCCCTTGTTACGTTCTCCTCTTGTGGTTTCACCCCTCCCCATTATCTCCCTATACTTAAATTACATTTTAATTTAAATTAATACTCAGTATTTGTATTATTAGGACAATGTAACAATTATTTCCAGTTGAGACTATATTCTATTTCATTTTTGAACCATATTTTTTCCTAGAGTTAGTGTGTTTTTGTTCGTTTACTTTTGAATTTATCTGTCACAAATTAATTGAAAACTCTCTGACAGATGACAGATCTTCTCTCAGGACAGTCATCAGATAGTCTTCCCTCCCCTTCTCTTGTCCTTTCTTCTGCTCCTTGGTGGGTGCTCTTCACATCTGGACTGCTTGCTCTCCCGGCCTCCTTTGCAGCTATCACCTGCTATTCCTGGCCCTTTACACTTGGGAAGTCCCCTTGGTTGTTTCCTGTGTTGGATCCCATCTTCCTGAATGCTGTGTTATCCTCTGTGGGGTTGCCCCTCATTCCAGGGAGTTTCTTGTTTCATTTGTTCTCACAGTTCATCTTCTAGGAACTTCTTGAACAAAGGGGCAGGTGAATGGTAAATATTTGGTTGTCTTGTGTGTCTGAAGGGGTTGTGATTGACTGGATTGGTCAGAGATGGCAGTCCAGGCTGAAGTATTTTTTGACGTTACTTGATGTCTGATATCTTTGCTGCATTGCCTTCTGGCTTCCAGTCTTGTGGTGGAAAACCCAAGTGCCATCTGCTTTTTAGTCTCTTCAGTGTGTCTGTTTTTCTCTCTCCCTCTCTGGAAGCATTTATAGTTTTCCCTTTACTGCTCTTGTTTTGAAAGTTTACAGCTGTGGGTCTTCATGTGGTTTTTATTTCATTCTGTGTGCTGGACACTTTGTGACTCTTATTAGTCAGGATACTTGTGTCTTTTATTTCTCAGAAGTTGTAATATATTTCTTATATTACTTTCATACATTTTTTTGAGCTGGGTCTAGTGTTACACTCCTGTAATACACATGCTCAGTAGGCTGAGGCAGGAGGATAAGGACTTTGAGGTCAGCTGGCACTACAGTAGTGAGGCCCTGTCTCAAAAAATGACAAAAACCCCACCTTTTCTGCTTTTTTCTTTCTCTTGAGGGAGGGAAGATAAATGTTGGCATGCAATCCTCTGTGCTTAATTGGAGATGTCTTATTCAAAGCATGCTGTCTTTGTAAGTTAAACAAAACAAAACCATCATACAACAAGCACAGTTGTTTTTTAGAAATTAAAGCTGAATTTTTATCCACAACTCTGTTGAAACCTCACACTTCCTTGAGGCTGTCAAGGGTTGGGGCTACTTAGTTTTCTTTCTTTTTTACTTTTTTTTTCTGTTTATATTAAAAAATCAAAAAATATCAAAAGGTAATTATAGTACAACAACTGTAGTATAATTTAAATGCTTACACTTAACAAAATAAAGCTTTTTAGCATAATCGTAATGATATAGTTCCTATCTATAATCCCACCTGGAAATATTGCCTTAACTTGAATTTGAGGTGTTTCATGAGCATGAGCCTGCTGCACCCTCCTTCTATCCCACAACTCTGCTAGAACTTCTCAGTCCAGTGTCACCGATGATCTTCTTGTCCTTTACCCCAGTGGTCATTTAAAAATTCTTAGAATACTTTAACTCTACTGCATTTGAAATGGATTTTGGGAAACTCTCTCCTGATGATCTTTGTAACTCATAGTCTTCTGATGTTTCCTTTTAAATTTAATTGCCTTTTCTCTGTCAGTTCTTCATGTTCCATGATTCTAACATAATGGTTTTTTTTTTCAAAGTTTCCCCCTTGCCTCTGTCCTCTTCTCATGCTGCCTGTATGCTATAGGCAGTGAACCATACAGACTGTGTGATGCTTTATGCTGTGTCTGTTTTCCAATAAAAAGCAAATGCATTTAGGAAAGGGGCTGCAGTCATGGATTCTGAATGAAATAGGTCTATAGAGGGTGGCCAGTTCAGCCTCCCCTTGCAGACTTTCTGGGCAGTGATTGGGCAGCCTTGGCTTGGGCAGCTCTGGGAAGGAAATTCATTCTTCACTGAGGAATCCATTTTGCATTTGAGCAATTCCAAAAGTCAGAAAGTTCTG